CAGTACATTTACGATTAAGCATAAAGCAATCTTATGTATGATACAGCAAGAGGAAGGAATGAAAGCCAATATGATGAAGATTTTAAACATTTTAGGCATAAGAATACAGTCTTTTCACTTGTACTTTCCAGCACTGACCAGTTTCTAACTTTATTGCACAGGTATTACCTATGAATGATGAAACTACTGCTATTCACTTCTGAGTCAGAATCTCACCTCACAGAAGCCACAAATGATAGAAATCCCTCCTTTCAATGGTTGCATAAAATTCAAAATATAGTATTTCAGATTGAATTATAGATCAGATCTACAGGCACTATGATTTCACAGCAGAAACGCGTGCTTTGTCATTTGTGGTTACGGACTTTCAATCCATCAAAAACTCAATCAGGTTCTAAAACGTACCCCTTGGTATTAGCACAGCTACTGTACACTCTGACAGTTGTTGACACCAACTACCAAGGCACTTATAAAACATACCTTTGGAGGATTCGATTTGTAACAAGCAAATGAATGATGGGAATGCAGGTATCCCACTGCAGAGAATTGGCAATCAACACTATTGACTATCTTTTTAGATCACTGAAATGACACCCATGTTTTCAAACTCAAAAGCTATACCAGCAAAGGCACATACTGTAGACACCAAATTTCATTTCCGCATGTGCTGAAGAAGAGAATGAGATGTGTATTGCTGACTATACATGAACTCTGACATGTGAGTAAATGTATCACACTCGCAAAGACCTTTTTGCTAGTTTTAGAATTGATGTTATCACTTATTGCTTAAGGCGGTGTCTGCTGAATGATCACTTATTGCATTAACGAATACAGTCAATGACCTTACTCCAGGCACTCAACTGTTGTGGTTTTTGCTTGGGCGAATACAAATTTCACTTGTTGCTGGTCTTTCTAGTGGGCATCAGCAACTGTTCCAGAACTGAAGGTAAAAGTAACCTGCACTCTCCAAACTTGAGCCCTTTTGGGGATCTTGAAACTGCTATGGTTCATTATTAAAATCATACACAGGGCCCGAAGCGCACTTAAAATGGAGTAAGTGAGCTTTTAAAACCCCTGCAAGCTTTTATAGCATTTTATATCATTTCTACACAACACCACAAACATTCTATTTTAGACATCCTGCTGTGGAATGAATTTCTTGTCATTTTTAATGGCTTATAGCTCATCTGCTAGCTTTTCCTTAGAAACGCACCCACAACAAACAACGTATTCCACTCATGTACTTTTGGATGAACGGAGATCACAAAATAAACTTGCATGTATTATGTAACATGCTATCTAATCACCTCTCTGAAGAAAGCAGTGTATGATTTAATCTGCCACAGAGTTTGTCAGATTTCCCAAAATCCCAATCTGATAAATATTAACTTTTTAAAGGCTTAAAGTTCACATTTGGTCATATTTAAAAAGGAGGGAGAAAGGAACAGTCCCCAGCTCTAATAAACCAATACCGAATCATATTTTTTTAAATTGTAAATCCTAATTACAAATTGCATCCTAAAGAATCACTAATGCAGTTTAAGCTATCTCCAATGAAATCCACAATTTAGCAAATTCATGCAATGCAAAAATCTTCTTAAGCTTAATAATGTTTTGCTTTGCAAAATCGTATTCGGATCAGAAGCGAACTGCAAGATAATACATTCAAGGCCTCTGAGGTTATGGTTCATATTAGGAGAAATGCAGGATAACCAATCTCTCCTGCTGAAGAAATGAAGAACGTGAATATGGGCTCTCTCCAGTTATTAACCCTCTTTAGATCTTTCGAGAAGACAGTTGCAGAACCAGTAACTTGTGTTTAATTAAATAAATACAATTAAGGAGGCTACTGTGCAACTTGACATTTCCACTGTGCATCACTAAAGCACCTTAACTCTGAGAATAAAATCTGTGAAGTACATAGGACTGGAAAATATGCATATAAGAAGTTCTGAACACAGAACAAATTTCTTCAACAAAGATCAGTTCTACAAAAAAACTGCAGTCTCTCTGCACCCATGTTGAACGAACCTGTGTTGAATATTCTGATGTGACTAGGTTGTCAATTGAATATCTGGGGTGCATATAATCAAATACGTAAAAAAAAAATCATATTCATACTTCTCAAGGATTATGAGTGAGATCATTATTCACAGTATAATGATTTAGTTATAATGATTCAAGAGTTCAATTTAAAAAAAGACTTGTGGTAAAATGAATGTGGAAGAGTTTTTTTTTTTTGTGGCACGCAATTTACATGCGGCACTTTAAGAGATTTTGACATTTCCTTGCAGTCCTGCCAGGTCAAAAGCCCAGATTCAAAGTTCCGAGACTTTTTATACGGGAAGGACATTCAAGTTCCAGCAGACTACAAAGGATTTTATGATAACATGGGATTTTATGACACATTATAAAAATAACTGTAAAGAACAATATAAGAATGGTTCATGGAACTGGTATTTTAAAAGAAAACATGAATGTGTTTTATTCCATGGGTATGTTTCTCATAGCTAGAAATGGGCACAAATAAACACATTAGACAGTTTGCTTCTGATCAGAAGGTGTTCTGCAACATTTAAGGTAAAAAAGCAGAGATCATTACAGCCTTTTATCCTGTGGTATATACAGAGGGTCGAGGGGGACACATTTGTGAAAGTCTAATTAGCCCAATAAAGAAATATTCCATATCTACAGGCAAAATATTTCCACTACATTACAGAGTGGCAAAAGGATGCTTTCTTCAAGTTAATGGTCTGTGCAGTGCATGTTTGAGCAACAAAATGTTATTACAGACTCCATCATAAATTATCTGCATTTTTTTTTACTCCACTATCTTTTGATCTTTACCAAAGAAAGGTGAATTAAACCCCAATTAGTGTGACATTTCGATGGCGATGTTGCAAATTAGGATGTGATCTTTCTTTGGACACAACGGGACATCGCTAATACAGCACAGCCTGCTTAGACGTGATATTCCTCCATTTATAAAGACTTCACCAGAAGTGTTGTTTTGCCTTTTTGTCTGGTTTAGTCAGTCAGTTCCACCAGCTTCAAATCTATCAAAAAAAGGAGAAAGTTCACGGTTTGTCCTGCAATGTGATGACCCACATTTGGGTTTTCTGCCCAAAAAAATGGTGTATCAAAAGGCGGTTGGGACTGTCCTTGAAGGCATGTTGAATGAACAATAACGTATTCCAAAAAATTACAGCACAAATAAGCTGTTGGTACTGTAAAAACGAATCCTTCCGGGTCATTCCATCGCTGTTGCCTTGCCTCCAAATACAAAGGCTAGTTAAGACCAGGTGCTCTCATGTTATACACCCATCCATTTTCTCACCCCTGTATCCAGTTCAAGGTCACAGGGGGGCCAGAGCCTATCCCAGCAAGCAATGGGCACGAGGCGGGATACACCCTGGGCCGGACGCCAGTCCATCACAGGTATGCATACACTCACACCAGGGCCAAAATTTTCCCAGAAGGCAATTAACCTACAAGCATGCCTTCGGATTTCAGGACGAAACCAGAGGACCAGGCGAAAACCCACCTGAACCCAGGAGGGAACATGCAAGCTCCACACAGACAGCTCTCCAGCATTGCAAGGCGCCAATGCTAACCACTGCGCTACCTGGCTGCCTCACTCACGTTATCATACACTCTTAACCTGTGCTGCCTGCAAACATCAACATTGCTGCCCTTAGAATGGTTTAATGCCTAGACTTCACGTGAAAAGGACCCTAGAGCAGCATTAGAAATGCATACTTGTTCCTTCAGCCAGAACAAGGGTATACACTGGTGTTTCAGTTATATTTTGTCCTATTTCCCTCATATTCCTGGCTCTCATACACCCAACTAAGACCCCACAGTCCTAATTTTGCACTTTCAGGCACTGGAATGAACCACCTGCTTGTTTCATTTCCTGTTAAAGTTGAATGCTGGAAAACACAACACTGTCTAAAAAACAAAAACAGATTTCTGGGGGAACATAATCTACAACAACCTAGCAATGTAAATGAAGCAGTACAGACATCCAACCCTCCACCCAATATATCTCAGGAACAAGGACAGTGGTGAGGAGTGAACCATTGTCACTGAAATGAATACCCAAACAAAAACAGACAAATGATCAGAACAACTATTATTGTCAGTATTTTAAGTGCGGCATTCTATGAGTCTGGTCTCATGGTACTGTACATTAACCTGCAGCACACTTTCAATCAAAACAGTTCAACACTGCAACAGGTTAGAAACAAAAACAAAATCAATTTTTAGGTCAAAAACCGTAACTGGGCCTGTGTTTTTAAATTCTGTCTTTGAAATAATGCGCAGGCATGAGATGGTGGGGTATTCTACAATACTGTAGGAGCTTCACACAGAAATTTAGCACAACCTGTAGTAGAACACGTTCTACTGAAATCATCTTCTATTTGCACAAGATACATGTGTCTGGATCTTAAAGGAGCATTTGTCCACAATAACCCAGTGTCACGCATGCGTATCACAGAGGTCAATAAAACAGGAGATGGATGAAGAGGTTCAAGAGGAAAAACAGGTGTGTTGTGTTGGAGGGAAGGCTGCTGAACTGTAGCTCTGCTGGGCCTCCTGTTTGAAAAACCTTCTTTCTTCACAACCTCATCTTCTGAGATGAAATCTCTTCATCTTGCTCGCACCTGAACAATCACCACCCTATGGCCCCAACTACAACGAAGCCCTGATCTGTGCGACCTGTTTTCGTTTCGGTGAGCTGAGCTGGAATCACGTGGACTCAACCCACAGTACATGGAATGTTTAAGGCTGGGCACAGGTACACAAAGATGTGTTGTATATATATATATTTTAAAATGTTACAAATAAAAAAAACAACATCGGGTTATGTTCACCTTTACTTTCTCCGCAGTCAAGCTTTATGGTAAAGCAAAAGTACTCTCAGAGCAACGTGAAACATGCATTTCCCTCGAAAGAGCTAAACAGAAACCCCAAGAGAAGGGAAGCAACCCATTTACCTGCTCCAGGAGTTTCATGTACCTCTGAGTTGCCTGTTGAATCAGATCCCGGACTGTCCATCCATCTTTGCAAGGAACAACCACGCCGGTCTTTCCAAAATTGACGGTTACTTTCATCTTCTGGTGATTTCCACTCCCTGCCTTCCGATATTCCGACAAAATCCCGATGTTTACAAGCGTGCGTGTCAGTTCAGCCCTGTCACACTGCTCCCTCTCCCCGGCTTCACTTAGCTATCAGACAAGGAAGCAGCCGCAACAGGTGTCATTTGGCAGAAAAAAAGAGGTAGAAAGTTAAGTCTAAGTATCAAAACGAAGACGCCAACGCATTAAGAGCATTGAGCTTGAAGCTGCCCTTCGGTACCTTGAGAGTTTTTGTTGTCTTAAAACTATCATAAAATAAATACAAGCCTAGTGAGAGAAAACCGGAAGAAGATTTGTTTCCAAGGTGGATGTATGATTACAATCCCAAATTACGCAAGTCTTCGCAAAACAATACCGAGAAGTCCATCGGCATTCCTTTTAAGTTGTGCAGTTTCATTTTAGATTTAGAACAGCGTGCATAATAATTGCCATTTTTTTCCCCCAAATTTTGCCTCTTCTGATTTTCGAAATGCCGATGGGGGGGGGTGAAAAGCAGCTTCAATTGAAGGGTGACTTGTTTAACCTTTCGGAGCTCAGCTGCTGTTTATCACATCATCAGACTTCTGCCTCATTTTGGACGCTTTACGTTTTAAGGTGAAGGCCTGGAGACTTTGAAGATGGAGCCCATCGCCCCGCCGAACTGCCCAGTTCTCTCCCTCTCCTCTCTCCTTCCAGAATTTCCACTTCCTCCTTTCTCAGATCGACTTGTCCTTTCTTTTTCCGGGCTCCTTCAATCAAGCCCAGCTCGGAGGCAAGCGGGTGTTTTAAAAAAAAAAAAAATTAATAAAAACCCAGCGCTGTAAAATAAATAATCCCACAAACTCGGCAGTTTTCCCTAAAACTCACAAAAAAAAGCGCCCCTCCACACAGGACAAGCACTCAAACTCAGGCCACCAGCTTGCACTCCGTTTAAAGAGACAGTGCATCTATATCGCACCCAACTCCAGGGCCGTGTTGTACTCCAGAAAAAAACTCAACAGGCACTGTCTTTAACAGAGTGTTATGGTTATGGCCACATTTTTAGAGGCGTTTAAAGGAAAAAAAAAGCTGATGAAAATTAATGCACTGTACAAAAAAATCACAATCGACTTCAATTTCCCATTAAATTAAAACGAACAGCATTGCATTATTATTATTATTATTATTATTATTATTATTATTATTATTATTATTGTTATTGTTATTATTATGATTGTTATTATTATGGCGGCACAGAAAGTTTTGATTTAAGATCGATACAGTAACACCAAAGTTGTATACAACAAGCAACAACAAAGGAGCGCTCCGCTGCCCTGAGAAGTTAAATACCTGTAACGTTATTTTTTTTTTATGAATCGTGGCAGAAGTTGAAGCTCCCCAGAAGCCGCAAATTAGCCCCTGAAGTCATTTCTGAAACGCAAGCAGTGCCGCGTGAATTACTTTGAAACTTAATTTTCAGACTAATTTAATTCCAGTTGAATAATTAAACCATCGCGCTCCCGTTCCTCGGGAGAAAATGCCTGGAGGCCAACGCGTTTTATTGGGTCCCGTTCAGATGCCACAAATCAAAACAAAACGTGCACTGGATATACTGTATATGTTTTTTGTTATTATTATTGAGGGCACTAGAAAGGTTTTCAATTGAATTTCGCTACATACCCCCGCGTCCTGTAGTGTTTGTACAAAGATTGTTCAGCAAGATTTAACGGCTTTATTCATTCATTCCTAACTGTTGCAATACTTCATTATGATGGATGAGTACCCTCCTAATTCTTGCTGAGCGCTCATTTACTTTCAGGTCTCAACTCAGAAATACCCTCGACGCTCACTGAAAAGCTCGCTGGTGTCATGCAAGAGGGATTGGAAAGGTGAAGGAGTCTGTTTACCAAATCTACAAAAACTGAAGACTTCGCTCGAATTTAAGGCTTGCCTGGGCATAAAATTAAGTTCAAGTTAAAAGTCTTATTTGGTTAATTAAACCCTTTTTACATTAACTCTAGCAAATGTTGGCAGATGATACAAAAAAATCCCTTCTTGCAGTTAAACATTAACCTAATCCTCAAAGGGAGCGTTTGTTTATCCATTTAGAATGCCTGTCCTGTCTAAATACCCCTCTTTGTTTTATACGATCTTGCCGATCTAAAGTTTGTCTCATTGCGACAGGTGAAACAATTTCTCACTTCTTCATTTGATCTGTTTCTGGCACATACTTGCTCCTACGCATAATCCATATGGGCGTTTTAAGTATTCTGGGGGATAAATTGAGTCTTCCCCTTAATGTGATACACTTTGTAAGAAAAAAACAATGCAATAAATGATTTATTAATTAATCAGTACATTAAATATTGTGGCGACGCACTGGTATCCCTTCCAGGGTGCATTCCTGCCCTGTTCCTTTTACTTCCAGGACAGGCATTCGTTTTTTTCGTGACTCATACCAGGAATCAGTAACTTTCTGATGATGGATGAAGGAAACACAGTATGTGACACGCAGAACGGTGACTCTCAAATCCTTTGGCCTCCGTTCGCTTTGAGAATAAAACAGTCACAAACCGCCACACACACAGCAGAAATAAATAAATGCCAAATTTAGACTTAAGATTTGGAACCAAGCAGATAGTTTGCTCTAATGTTCAGTCAATGACACAAAACCGCACAATGTTTAATTATTATAGATCTATACAATGCTAATGAATGAAGAAAGCATCCTTCAATATACAGTATTTTTTGCATTTTCCTTGCAAGGGAAGTTCCCAATTAATAGGAAGCCCTTAGTCTTATATAGCGCTTGGCTATATAGCCAAGTCAAAGATGGGGATTATTAGGAGGCCATGATTGGTAAATAATCTGCAACAAAGTTCAGAAAATCTGTCTTTGCATTAATATCACAGAATGATGTGATATTAGAGAATGATGTACAAATACCCAAGAAACAAGAAGCATCAATTAAAAGGACAATACCACATTTATTTCAATATGTAACTGCAGTGATATTGGTAACGTGGGAAGTGCTAGTTACAGTAATAGTGTAGGAAAGATTAGATAGATAATTTATTGATCCCGTGAGGGAACTCGTAGTGCAACAGCAGCTTAGCACAGTCAACACAGCAACAGTGTAACAAAATGCTACAATAATACAACAATACAATACATTTAATACAATCAGTACAGTCACTGAGAAGTGCACTAAGAAGTGTTGCTCGCAGTCCAGAATATACAAAGAACAAGCCAGAACACTACACAAATATATATATTTATATATATATATTGCACAAGTCCCTGGTATATATTGCACACAAAATACATTACAGTCTGTATGTACTATGGGTTTGAAATTGAATTTAGTACAGAGGTTTGTTAGCACGGATTTCTGAGTCACCGAAATAGTGCTTCCAGTGTGATATTCAGGTTATGTATTGAGTGGAATAGGTAGTCTGTTGGCTCTTTTTTCAATAAGCACCTCGAGTACATCTCTGAATGTGTACAATGTCTGCAGATATCAGTACCGTGGTGCATTTGGGGATATTGGGCTAAACAAGTACAGTTTCCTTCAGTTTGCAATGAGATGGAGCAGAATAATGTCTGAAATGAGGGTAGGCCCAAAAGTTCATGTGCACAATGGGAACCTGAGTAGAACACTGGAAATAAAATAATCTAATTTATAGAAACTTCCATCTTCTCAAGCTGAGCATTAAGATGTAACATGTCTTCAAAAGGTATCTTTCGGTGAAGCTTCATTTCACTTCATATCACATATAATCAAACTCCGTTCTTTTTCAGATTTTAGATGCATACGATGAGTAAATCTGTCAACATTCTGATGCATTTGAATGGTGAACAACTAGCAATCTGTATTTCTCCTGCTCAGTACTGAAAGCACAACCCTGATGTGTTAGCACGCTTTTAAACTTACGATATTTACAAAACACAAACAAACCGATTTTGATATTTTGATGATCTACTTTTTATCCTTGTGTGACAGAGCAATTTCAAAAGAGTGTTCATGTTTGATTAAATGTTTGATTAAATGAAGTTTGATTGTTTGTTTGATTAAATGATGATGGAGCGTTAATTTCACAATTAGAAAGGAAAGAACAATTAACAAACAATAGGAGGCTATTCGGTCATTCTTATTGATCTCATCCAGTCATACCAGGGAATTCGCTTCAATGGCAAGGCATGAATGTAAAAATAAATAGCTAATTAATAGAATGCCAGTTTTAATTTAAATAAAACACCCTATCCCTCTTCTAGACCTAGACTTCAAATAAGTCAAAATTACAAGAAAATAAAAGAAGAAACCAAACTTAATTGTAGCATTTACAGTAGGCGTGGCAATGTTACAATTTAATTATTTTCTATTCTAGTCCTATGCTGACTTTGTTTTATTTGATCGTGGTAAAATGGTTATTGGGCCATATTTTCCGAAGTTCACTTGTTGGAAGGTTTTCGTTTTCCACTTGGCTGCCGCTTGAAATTTACTGGGTTTAATGCCTTCTAAAACAAAAGGACAGCCTGCAGTTTGAAAGTAGTGTGGCTTTTTGAAGGACATGGATCTCTGCACGAGCTACTCGCCATACTCACTCAGAGCCGGTCCCAAAACACAGGGGTCACTATTCTGTCCGGGGCCTACTTCAATCAACACCTTGCAAATAAAAAAATGAAGTGGCTCACCCATTTCCTCAAGATCCCATTGTGAATGCTCAGTGCACTATAATTAATTTCCGAATCTCTAATCCCCTTCACAGTGGTGATTTATGGTTATCCACTCTTGCATGAAACCCCAGTGCACTGGCCTTCCTGCAGATTTTTAAATTGTTCATCATGCTCTGTTCTCACCCCATCTCCCCTTTTACCCCCGTGACTTTTTATTCCACAAAATAGCCCTCTGCCCTATTTCATTTCCCTATCCAGGCAAGTGGCAGATTCCAAATTCAAGCAATCCCCTTGGCGGTTTCCAGCAAACTCAGCGAAATGGGGATTAGCCACATTTTACTTTGAATGCATTGTATGTGAAGGCAAATTCAGTTCAGCTGTAGATCTAACTGAAGCCTCTCTCTCCAGCACCAGAGTATGAGTGAAAGAGCTCTTGGCAAATAGCTGTAGTTGCAATATGCCAAAACAGACAGTAACGGCTTTCGCGTTCGCCGTCAATCAGAATCAGAGTAACCAGGAAGAGAAAACGTGGAGACAAAATGTCAAATTGATACCTTTCTATGATCCGGCCATCTGAGGTTTTGTGAAGGGTTGAAGGAAAAGGGTGGACAACATTAACAACCAATGCAGCAATGAAGTCCTGTGGCAATGTAGAAACCCCACTGGCCACCTCAGGAGGTAGCAGATCTTTCCAATATTCCCCACAGTGCGTCTGTGACCTTTTGCCAAAGCCCCGGCACAATGCCAAGCCACCGAAGCCAGTATCTGTGGTTGTGTGCGCTCCAGATTTGGGCTTAGTACCTGTTGCAGTTGCACTACAGCATCAAAATGTGAAGGCTGGTCATTTTAAAATAGATGAGCTCTGTTAGGGTCTAAAGCCATGGCCAACATTAGCATCTTTATTAGTTTTATACAAACAGACTTATACTGAAACAATTGTTAATAGTTAAAAATGAAAGTTTTTAGAGAGACTGTATGATTTTAATATATAACCTATACTCATATTGTGGTAGGCCTAGGTGCAGGGAAACATAACAGGATCCCTAAATATGTGGGTCTAAGGAAAAGAAACTATAACTAAGGGTATAAAAGCAGTGCTCTTTATTTACAGTGCAAAGGAAATAAACAAAAAAACACAAAACAAAAGCCTAGCTCTGCTCGAACTAGACTTCGTCAGTCCCTCAGTGATTAGTAACAGGGCAGCACTGCTTCTTACCAGCTTCTTACAACCACTCTCTCTCCAAGACTCTTCCCCAAAATACTCTTAT